ATTTCAAGCTCAATACAAAAACCCATTTAAATGAAAATACAAATGGACAAATCTCAATTCGTGTAATTGACAATTATTGCACATAAAAATTAGTTCTTTTGCCATTTATGGGTATCACAATCGACTGTTGATGATAAAAGTAGCATCACAAAGGTAATGCCTTCCGGAATGCATAAACGCCAATTCCGAATGCAAAAATTTATCTCCGCCATTAAAACGAAGAGCAATATTACTGCCCTGGGAATATTTATTGGCATAATTAAACCATTTTTAGACGATTCATGTGGCAGTTAACCCTGAAGTTTATTATTTTATAGTTTTTAATGCCTTCGTTAAAAATCATAGTGTGAACTCAAAAAACAAATTTACATTTCGCCTAGTATTATTATTGCCGCTAACCAAAAAACACATAGATAGAGGTTTTTTTTCCCAGTTACCAAAGTTAATTTATTTCGTAATTAAAACGAACCACCAGATATTTTATTAAGCTACATGCATCGGGGTAAAATAAATATGTAAATATTTACTGTTTGTAGAATTTATAGTCTAAACAAAAGCGATTGCGGATTTTTTTGTTTCTGTTTCGATTAAAAGCATAAATAATCTAGTTTTTTCCTCAAAAATGAATATTTTCAATATTTTCTTGAAAAGCTAAATATCAAGGCACAATTGAAAACTATTCAAAACGTTCAAAGCGTCCTAGTTTCCACAAAATGCTCCACACAATTCTAATTCAAAACGATAACGTACCCCATATAAAAAATTTCCGCATCGTATTTTTCAAATCTGCTTCCCAGATACGGAGCTGCATAGTTATGTGCGTATCAAAAATTTTTAAAATTATTTCTATAAAACCGCGCGCAAAAATGTTATGGATGCGTTTTTCCAGGAAAGCATAAATTCCGGTGCATGCGGTCTCGTTGTTTTGTCGTCGTAAAAATATGAATTCATTGTTCTGTTTCAGACCCGCCGAAAAAGGCCTATTTAATGATCGACAACCGTATCCTCGATCCGGGAAATCCGTTTATTCCGGTCAAAGAAAACGCTGACCTTACTGTTTCGTGTGTTGTTGATGAAGGAAACCCTAAAGCCACCCTCACGTGGGAGCTTACTTTGGGTTCAATGGCGCTGCTAGATGTGCCAGAACTACCTTTGGAAGTACTCAATTTTACTGAGACTGTTGTGGATCAAAAGGTAAGTGGATGTTTGAGGTTTTACATGCATACAATTGTTGATTACAGGCGGGGGCAAGGAATGATGCGCACATGGAAAAAGTGCTCAGGGCTCATCACAATGCTACGTTGACTTGCTTTGTCAGGCACATTGATCTAGATCAACCTTTCAATGTTTCCGTTTTGCTGAATGTTCAATGTAAGTAGAAACTTTTGATTTTTATAAGCTTAGAGGATATGTACATTCTTCAAGAGGTTGTGTTGTAGCATTAGTCGTTCATAGTCCAGAAACTTGGCTGGGATGGTCTTTCCCCTCGGTATTCGTATTGGCCAGATTCCCCCAGCAATGTTTGAGGAGTTGTTATGGGTTTATTTTTTTCCCTCAAGTAAAAGTACCCCCATCTAGACATTTATTACTAAGTTGTCATTTCACCTATACAGATTTCATTTCGCTATTTTTCCGGAGAAGATTTTGGGAGGACCCTCGATCCTTACTCCACGTCAGGTAGATTCCTGGGTCGCTGTAAGACTTGCAAACAGCAAACAATCAAGGAACGCCCTGTAAGTTAGTTGGGTCACATGTGTGTGATGTCCTGGGTCCTGAAATCAGATGGTTACACTCCAGCTGATTGATAGTGAAGCTCTGGGGTCAAAAGAAATACTCACCTCGTAATTATTGCCATCATAAGTTCAGCATACCAAGGGTTTTTAACAATTAGAACAATGTAAGAGCCAGATAGAGGCCTACATTTCTTTGGTGTTGATTTGATTCCTTGTGTGCTATAGGCTGTTTCCTGTTTTGAAATATCTTTCGTTCAGAAACCGACTTACTGCAGGGTTGAAAACAGGTGGCGCCTCTATTTAGACCCACCTCACTCACCGGAATTTTGTGGGCTAGTCGGAGGTTCCCTATAAGTCGGATTTCTTCTTTAGGCCACCTTCAAGAGTCATATTCCTCCCTTCACTGTTTTCTCCCTTAACTACCCCATGTAGCTTAAGACTTGTAACAAAATTGGCGCCCAACGTGTGGCCATTCGGTGCAAAAATGTGAACAGCCTAGCACGGTCTTCCTTGTGTTAAATGAACTCACCTAGGTCCACTTTCCCTTGACATAATTCGGAATCGGGGTTTCTTCCTTCTAGAATCCAGAACACCCCGTTATCCAGATATACTGGGATCCAGGCATTAGGGGTCTTTCGCCCGCGCCAATTAGACACTAGCTGATGGAACGATAAACAAAACGTTTACAGGATAAAGCGGGACGCGCACTGAATCCACTCGGACCGGTCGACTCGGCGAAGAGCATTCGGTAGTTTTTGATACTCATGCAATTAAATGAGACTCCGCGCACGGCGTCGGACTCGTCGACTCGACGTGGTCGACTCGAGTCTCATTTAATTGCATGAGTATCAAAAACTACCGAATGCTCTTCGCCGAGTCGACCGGTCCGAGTCGATTCAGTGCGCGTCCTACTATATTTACAGAGGTTGACTGCCAACTTACTTGGTCCAAGTTCTTATCCAAGTGCACTTGTGTAACAAAACGGCCTACAAATTCTTTTTTTTTTTCCGTTGATGCAGTTTCCAATCATTCTGTAAAGACATAAGTAGTTTTATTGTAGCTAACCTACACACTGGGGCATAAATGAATTCATCACTTTCATTAAATAGTATTTGGAAACCTCTTGCAGCCAATCTTGCTTTCTTTGTACCATCTCCTTTTATTTTGAAAATCCCTTCGTGTCTATATCTGTTTGACATTCAGGAAGTTCTACTGGAATCCAAGAGAGTTTTCATGAGATTTAATTTCGTTCTCTATGGCTTCTCTCCACTCTGCAGTTTTACAGGCTTTTTACAGGGTACTGTATATTTCATAGTCAAGAATTTTGGGTTTGTTCACAGTTCTTCCATGTCTTGTTATAATCCTATTATTCCATGGCATATGTTTTTCGTTCTCATCACTACTTGAATTTACATTGCATTCTTGCCTATTATTGGTCATTCGAACAGGTCTCTCTTCTTGTATCTCTTCCTTCTTACGGAAGACGAGGCGATACCGCTACCATCTTTCTGGAGAGAGGCTCAGGAACTTTGTCCAGAATTATGGAATCGTTCGAGAGCTCCTCTCTCCTTCCTTCATCGTAAGATGATTGACACGACAGTTCGGCCAAAGAGGTATTTGTGTGAAGACAAATGATGAAATTGTAAAGCGCTTTTGTACGAAAGCGAAGTAGTTTGATAATCGGTTTCCTATCCTACGGTCCCTGCTCGGGCGCCTAATTTGTAAGGCGCTTTTTGTATGAAAGCGAAGTAGTTCGGTAATCGGTTTTTTATCCTACGATCATCTCGGGCGCCACCCTTAGGATTAAAGTGGTCAAGGGCCCATGTGCACCAGCTAGCTTGTTACAGTGGAAAAACAGTAACCCAGGAGTCACATCAGACGTTGTTGCCTAACCTGACTACATCTCAAAATAAAACCCTGAAAATTTCCTGTAAAGCTCCGTGTTAAAATCAAACATCAAATTCGGTAATAGCACAAATTGTATTTACAGTATCCAACAGACTAAAACATTTTCTATCAATAACCAAACCCAAATATAGAAATGCATAATGCGAGCGAGAGTGAGAGGGTGGGTACGATCGGTACGTGCGTATGTGAGAAAAACGATGAGGTAAGTGGAGATAAAAGGTGAGCAATAATGTTAATAGTGGAATTCCAAAATGGAGCGGTGACGGTTAAAATAATGAGGCAGGCAAAAGGCTCCGGCGGTTTTGTAAGCGCGGAAGAAACCAAACCAATCCCTCTAACAGCGGAAATTCACTCGAACATCAACCAAGAGTGAAAGAAACGGACGCATTCGGACAACAACCAAGAATGCAGGTAAGAAGGGCCACTCAGACGTCAACCAAGAACTGGAGGAAAAAGGATCACTCAGACATCAACTAAGGGTGAAGGAGACGGACGCATTCGGACATCAACCAAGAATGCAGGAAAGACGGATCACCCCGACATCAACCAAGGGTGGAGGAAAAAAGGAGGAATAAAAGAAAATTGAGCAAATATGATACTATCTGGGCGTTACATGTTAAGGCGGTGGGGAACCCAGCATGACCAAAAGACCACAGCACTTTCCACAAGTGATGCGTGTGCTGACGCGGCGACGTAAATTATTAATTTATTTAATGATTGAGAATAATATGATATGAAATATGAAATATGCACTTAAACGCGGTGCCTTTTAAAACAAAAGAAAAAAATAATGTAACTTCGTTACAAAACTACCCCTCATATCATAGGAGAGGTGGTGGTGGATTGGAAATTACGTACAAAAGAGGTAGAATCTTTGAGGTGAAAATATTTTTATTCTTCTTTCAAGTTTGAAGCTGAAGTGGCTTTTCCACCCTTTCCATAGGTTGTGGAAACTGGAAGAAAACTCAAAGCCATTCACCAAAAACATTTCTGTTGGCGTTTCCATCAATAAATTCCAGCAAAATTGACATTGCAAATTAAACACCCTGTATCCCAATGCCATTGAACAAACTGCTTAAGCATGAGCTTATCGTAAAGCCTTGAAGCAATTTCCATAAACTGCCATAAAAAGTCCCGATATAAAAAGTCATGGGGTGTCACTAACTGGGCGGATAACTTCAAGAATTTATTTCCTCAATTACGTTAATTACCACTAGAGGCTGCAAAAGATTTATTATTCAACTCTTAACCCTAATCGCTGTGAAAAATGTTTATCTATAAAAAATTTATTTGGTATAAAATACAATAAAAGTACGGCAAAAATAAAACTAATGTACAAGTGGCTTTGAATTTTGGCTACTAATTAATTTGTATCGGTTTGATGACGTTGGATGTTTCTCTGGCATCGTGACTACTTTCATAAAGTTCATTTAATTTGGAGTCGCCATTCAAACTAACCCTTTTATCTGCAGAAGGTCGTTTTTTCTTAGGCCTAATAGGTTCAACTACAGTAATATTGGCATCAACTTCATAGTTATCTTTGACTTTTGAACTCTTTTTTTTAGATTGGTAGCCACATATGGTTTTCTTTTTTGTTGGCTTTTTAGGACACATACATAAAGTATATTCAGGAGGACACTTGCAAGGAACTTCATTATATTTTTTCGTTGCTGGAGATTTGTTCGTTTTAGGACACAAACAAATACTTTTTGTGGTTTGCACTGAACAACTGCACTTGTTGTGGTAAATTTTGGTTTTTGGAACATCAACTTTTTTATTTTTACCAAGCAAATTTCTTACCCTATCAATGAGGCAAATATTTTTGGTTGCATTAGTTCTATTTTGACAAGGCACTAATTCAATACCTTTCAATGTTTCAATGCACAAACATTTAGGTTTCTTTTTAATACAAATTGGTGGTTTATTACAAGAACATTTAGCATTACGCTTTTTCACTTTGCATGTTTTGTTCATTGAACAAGCTTTTACAACATTTTTTTCTTGACAAGGTGCCGGGCAATTTACATAACATTCAACGTCTCTGGTAGTTTCTTGTATGCTGGCATTGGCATACTCGATAAACCTGTAGCCTGATTCTTTTATAATTTTTGGTCTCACGTCACAGGAACAATAGTTTTCGCAAAAGTACATCGTTAATAAACCGCCGGATTGTCTAATAGAGGCAAACAAGCGTTCGTATATCTCGTATAAACGTAAGCGACAAAATTAAAACCCAATAGGATTCCGATCCATTTCAAACAGCAGGAATTCGGCGTTATTTTGTCCAGGAACGATTTCGATGCGCAAATACTGCAGCCGCATTTTAGCGGACGACGCATTTCATTTCACTTAATTTTTAACAGAAATTTTGATTCTGATGTTAACAGCTTTTTTGACATTGATAATGGTGGGTTTACACGCCAAAGACTGCGACACTGATGTATTTTGCATCATACTGTTGGATAGTAAACCAGTTTCCATTGATTCCCTTTATGTGTGTGTATGTGTGATTCCTGCGCAGATGATATCAGATTAGATTTGTTAAATGAAGATGGCGCATAGGCGTCTTCTACCACTGCAACCTTTTCAATGACATGTTAACACAGACATTATAGTAAATAAAATTTTGTGTCGTCAACATCTAGGAGAGCGATTCACCTTCGGTGTATCCCCTCCAATTAGGTTGCTTCAAAAAATTGGAGCTTCCAAGATTAAAAACGACCACTGGCAACGTTGATAGAAAATATGTTAGAGTGCGAACAAACACACTTGCCCTCGAGAAACTCACCTCAATTACTGAATGAAAGAGTGGGCGGCCGTGACCGTAGTGCACATAGGTGTGGTGGACCCGTCGTGCCCCACTGAGTTCTATCAGAGGCCTATGCCCTTAGAAAAGCGAATCAGGCACCTTGGCTTCATCCTTTTGACGTCATCAGGCAAGTAATACAACTTCCCAGGTGTTTGAACCTCGCGCGTGTGAGTGCTGGGCACTCACCAATGACGTGGTCAGCCGTTTCTTCCTCTTCCATGCACCAGCGGCATTCCAGGTCGCCCGTTATGCCCATGTTGTGGAGATGGCGTCTTAGGTGCCAGTGTCCGGTTAGGAGACCAGTCACTAGCCGTATCTCGCATCTGTTCAAGCGCAGTAGTTATTTGGTGAGACAGGCAGAGGGCCTATCAATATGAGCCTTAGCCTGTCTCAGGTGCTTTCATCCATCTCTCAAGGAATCGCTCCGCGAGGATACCTTTGAGGGACACGGCAGCCTCACATTTGGCTATGCCCAGCGTGGGCTCAGGGCCCACAGGCCCTGTCTGGCAAGTAAATCAGCTTCGTCGTTGCCCGCGACGCCTGAGTGACCGAGCACCCAGACGAGACGGACCCGGCACTCACCAGTCTTCCCAGGACTTTTTTGCACTCCATTACAAGCTTAGAGCGCACAGTATCAGCCATAATGGCTTTGATAGTAGCTCTGCTGTCGGAGCAGATTGAAACGACTGCATTCCTGTGGCGCGGTTTTAAATTTCCCGGCCACACTCCATTACAGCGAAAATTTCAGCCTGGAAAACAGTAGCGTGTTCCCCTAAAGAAAAGGATTTACTAATTTTAGGGGACCCTCCGCAAAAACCTGCTTCCGACCTGTTATCCATTCTGGAGCCATCCGTGTACCAGATAGCTCCAATATTCAGTACAGTTGGCTTGGAGCCGCCCAGCCATTCACTTCTTTCAGTGATATGGGCCTCCAAGCCTTTGCTATGAACAAGCTCCGGTCGCATGATAGCCCTGCCTATCAGAAGGACAGGACATTTCTCTGCGGCCTGAGACCCAATTTTCGCGTGTCCGGTTTTGCCGGTGCGCATTACGTCAAGGACGTGCAATCTATAGGCTGTCCTCACGAGGTCCAGGGAGGGTTTCTAGGGCCCTTGTTGGGGCCATACGCATGGACACCGTTATGGTGAGGCAAGAAAGGCGCGGACTCTGTCCAGTTGCGCCCGTATTGTGGCTTTCTCCGTGCAAGACCACCAGACGAGAGAAGAGGTTTAACTTTAGAGTTATGAATCCAGTAAAGGATCTTCGGTGAGAGACCCCGGGTGCAACCAAAGGCCCGTCTGCATGCCCAAAGGGCACAGGTAGTTTTTTTCATCCTGTTCTCTGCGTGTTCATACCAGGACAGTTCAGAATCCAGCATCACGCCTAGATACTTAACCACCCTGGAGTATTTAAGCGTCACACCTCCCAGAGAAATGTTGGGCGGTGTGCCGAAGTTGCGTCTCCTGGAAAAAAGTAGGAGCTCCGCCTTATTAGGGTTTATTCTGAATCCTTCCGCAAGGCACCACCGGTCCACTATGCGCAGAGCCCTTGCCATAGGGCCCTGCAGTGAGACGGCGTCCTTACCCGGACAAAGGATAACCAGGTCGTCGGCGTAGGTCTGAGTATACAAGCTTGCCCTGTTTAAGCTCGGTCGATAGAGTCGGGGATAGAACTCCACCCTGCGGACAGCCTCTGGCGGCCACCGCTCTAACCACCGCGTTGTTAAGCTCTGCGAACACTCGGCGTTGCGAGAGCATGGCCTCTATCCATCTCACCAGACAGGGCTCTAAGCCACGCTCTACGAGCGCTCCGCAGATGATCTTGAAAGGGGTATTATCAAATGCCCCTTCAATGTCAAGGAATGCCGCCAGACTGGCCTTTCCACTCACCAGATTCCCTTCTACCTTCCTGACCAGGTGGTGCAAAGCCAGTTCTGTGAATTTGCCAGTTTGATAGGTGTATTGTTGAGTGTGTAAAGGTCTGGAAACCAGTATGCCTTCCTTCACATATCGGTTCAGTAGCCTCTCCAGAGTCTTGAGCAGGAAACTAGTGAGACTAATGGGTCAATATGATTTTGGGTCGGAGTAGTCGCTCCGTCCGGTTTTCGGAATGAAGACGACCTTCACCTCTCTCCACTGCTCTGGAATGTATCCGTGAGCGAGGCAAGATCTGAAGATCTTTACCAGGTGGACAGTGATGATATCCGACGCGTTTTGCAGCTGGTAAGGGTGGATTCCATCGTTATTAGGGGATTTAAATATCATCATATCACCCTCTCATAACTTACTACTTTTCTGGCGGTGTCGTGTCCGGTGCTAATAGGGGCCCAAACGCCGGCGAAGACAGCGTTGTTTGGGCTAGAGCCCGGGAAGTGCGTGCGGAGCATGACTTCCAGGGTTTCCTGTTCGTTCATCGTGAAGCCACCGCCCGAAAGAGACAGTGACCTTATTCTACTACCGGGTTCCTTTGACAGAGCCTTGCAGAGGCGAGCTGCTCAGCTACTAGGGATATTTTTTAAACATCCCCGCAGTAGTACCTCCAGCTCTGTCTTTTTGAATCCCTGAGCGCATTTTTGTACTGCCTTTGGGCTGCGTGAAACGAGTTTGGAGCGTTCAACTCTCAAGAGCCAACGCGTGATGTTCCAATAGAATTCCGTAGTGTAGTTTCACCAGAAATTTTTTGCATTTTGAGGTTTCCGTCTTAGTGGACAGCTACCCTCGTATGCTCGGATAGTTGCGCTGGACAGTTTGTTTTTCTCAATCTCAATGTCGGCTGGAAGGTTATACCTTGCCGGCATATCCGAGTGCCCACCTGTGAACTCCTCCCTCTCCTGGCCAACAAGGGGTTTTATCATCACAACAAACATCAGTTTATTAATGAGATGACGGTCTTACTACCATTTTGTATGACCCAAGATTCATCTTAAGTTTCCAGTTTTTTCCACAAAATCTTCTGGACAACTTGTTTAGTGCATTTTGGACAACATGTTTAGTGCATTTTGGACGATAGATAACATTATCGTACTTATGGACGCTCCTATGGTGCAGAACCCTTTGTCTTATACTACTTAAAATGAAACAACTTTTCAATCCTATTACTTCTGATATAAAGATCACTCAAATTATATCCTACAGGGTAATGAAATCAGAAAAATAAACTTAAAAAAATTGTAACAAATTGAATTCCTTCTATATTAAGTAATTCAACAATACTAGAAAGTCTATTGCTTTGCACAGTAGTTGTTCAGTAGAGTTTTGAGTCGAAAACTTTACAACTGGCAATTTAATTAGTTTCTCAAGCGTTCAAGACTAAAGTTGGGCAATTATAACAAGAACGTCTCTCTTTGTCGACGTTTTCGAGAATTGTTTGTCAAGATGGAATTTTATTTAAAATAGTTTATTGTTCAGGGGCCGGCCGCAAGATTCGTCGGACGTCCGGTTTCTCTATCCCATTATGTTCTACTCGTTAAGAAATACCCCCTTCGGCATTTCGGAATATCCGTAGCGTAGAGAGAGAGGAATCGATCCAGGATATGCTCCTCAATATTTTATGAAGTGCAATAAGATGGACGTATTGCAAGTAACCCACTTTACGGATGAGTTATTTTTCAACCTAGGGTTTCACGAAGGATGTATTTGAACCTATGCAAGTTGGACTAATTCTCAAATATGTAATATGAAAACAGTTTGCGATTTCCAGGTCAAAAACTGAATAACCACCTACAGAGAAAAAAAATATACCGCAGAGATTTTGTAACGATTTCATTAATGTTCTGTCATTGGTGCTTGTAGCTGCGAGCCCCGAACAATGCAGCTTCGGTGATTTGTGGTTATTGGATTTTGAGTTATCGCGCTTATTAAAAAGCGCTGGCGTGTCGACAAAAGGCAAAGTCGATGGTTTTTTTACAGGGAAATGCTGTTAAAAAGGAAAAATCGGATTAACAAATCGGTTTTACAAGCCCCCACCCTGTTTTTTTTTTTATTGGCAACTACTGTTTCGTCTAATGTAACGAGAAACTGTCCGACATTGTCCCCTTTTTCGTTTCATAAAGAGCCACTTATCTTTATTAGAAAAAGGTCATAAAACGTATCGTGTATTTCACTGCAGGCAGATGCCCCGTCCCCATCCGAGTCGACGGTCTTTTTGATACATCTTGATACTAAAAATGGCAAAAGATTTTTGCCCGAAATGAAACTGTGTGCAGTTTTATTACAAAACGTATCTTCTAACGGCGCAAATAAATTCTTATTATTAGAATAACAAAAAAAAGAACTCGTCAAATGTTTCCTTGTCGTTCCCATTTTGCTTTTTGGATCGGTAGCTTTCAGACTTAAACAGATTG